TAAAAAATAAGATTGTGAAACATTAAATTACTCCAAATCATTATTCTTTAAAAATCATTATTCTTTCAAAACTTCAACCGATCTCATTTCGATTTTGTGTAATATAAATATTGAAAAGTTATTGAAATAACTTTTTCAGCCTAAATTCTTTCTCTCTATTTTTCTGTTCCTTTCCTCTTTATTTTTAATATAAAAAATGCTTGTCACAGTCCGCTCGAGTGTTTGTGTTTTCTTCGGGTTTGCATTCGCTGGTGGCGACGGATATCGGGTACCTTCGACAGAGGGGTCAGCACGCCGATCTTTCTCCCTCTCTCGAAGAAAGAATTTGGCAGGCTTAAGACAAAAGGTGATTAGGATACGCGCAGTCGATGGTGGTTTATAAAGACCCCCATAGCGTGGCGTGATGAGGTCAACCAGCAGGGAGTCATCCGTATAGCGAGGCCCGATCAAAAACTTATCCTTGCCACGTGATATACTGCCCGTGAATGCCTGCCAAGCGTTCTCCACTCACTCCCTCTTTCTCTTTCTCTCTCTTCTTCTCTCTTCCGACCTGGTCCTGACTGCCCTCCCTGACCGGCAAGTCTGACTGACTGACTGACTGCCTACCTACCTTGAGACTGCCTGATTTCGTATCCTCGCGTATCCACGGTCGAAGGGATCTACCTCGCCTCGTCCGCGGCGTCGTACGTGCTGCCCGTACACCGTCGTCTCGCCATTAAAGTGACGCCCGCTGAGATTTGTATTTGCATAACCCACCGGCTGCGTACCGATCGGCATTATCGACGAGTGCTTGTGAACAACGAGCGGCGTCGTCTTTCCGGCGTCGCTTAAACCGACTCGCGTGGGAACCTGAGAGCGGGGTACATCATGCACTTCGTTTCACGAGTGACTCCGATCAACTCTCATTCTTCTTATTTACTGTTGCGTGATGCTTAACTCAGTTATAATTTTTCACGAGAAAATTACCTCGTAAAAAAAATGTATCAAATTAAAGTTCTCCAGGCACACGCAAGTTAATACAGGAAGGAAAATTATCACTGAGAAAAATGTTCTGATTAATCCAATAAAAGGATCCAACAAAGATGACATTGGAGATCTGATTGTCATAATCAGAAATTCTGTTTATTCTCATCAAAATGCCATTCCTGTTGGACCTTCTTTTTATTGGTTTAATTAGAACATTAGTTATATGAATAAACTGAAATATAAAAATCGACTGCGAGCAATAGAAATCATTGTTGAGCCCAAGAATTCTAAGAGTAATGACCGTCAGTCGAGAGCAGTCTATCTTATCGTATAATACAGCTTTTTCAAGCGGTCGAGAATTAAATTCCGCGTCGGTCGATTGAGTTGAGATACTCCCGCAGAAGATACGCGTAGGCTATGCAAGCGTGAACGCCCAGCACCGGGCATTCGTGCTTAACATTTAGTCTCGCGATCTCGCGCAACGACTCCCGGGGGAGGCGCGCGCCCCGTGAGGGCGGTGGAGAAAAATGGTGATCCGAGGCGGAAAGCGGCACAGCCAAAGGAGCATCATCCGCGTGTATACGCGCCGATCGTTCCGTGGCCGGCACGCACACGTGCTGCGCGACGAGCAACCGCCGTCTCGTATCACATCGTCCGCACAGTGTGGGAAACCGCGCCGCCGAAAGACAGGGGAGGAGAAAAAGGAGAGAGAGAGAGAGACAGAGAGAGATGGTGATCGTCGAGAGAGGAAGAGGAAAGGCCGCGAGAGGAAGAAAAGAGGAAGAGGGAACGACTCGAACGCGGCAGAGTAGCATTTAATCAGAGCCTCGCGTCGAAGTGCACGGTACACGTGTACGTATACAAGGAGGAGGGGGGGTCAAAAGGGGGAAGTAGAAGAGAGCGGTATATGGTTCGGTTAGTTTTTGCTCGGGAGGTTGCCTGGAAATTGGCGCCAAATTAGTAAGGAGGACGAGGCGAGGCTCACGGTGCCTTGGGCTGCGTGACGCGAGACATTAAAAGTAACCTCTGCTCTTGTACACCCCCGTCCCTCCGCCGATCGCTGCTGCTCCTCTCCCGCCCCCTTCGCCCCGTCCTTCCCGTTCTACCCAAACCGTCCTTTTCGCTCTTTCTCCATGCAGCATCACAACTCTTCCTTCTTCCTCTCCATCTTCTACTTCTTCTCCTTCTTCGCCTCTTTCTCTCCTCCTCCTCCTCCTCCTCCGCAAAGATGTCCGTGCTCCGGAGGAATGGGCAGCAGCTTAGAACTCCTCGGCCTCCCAGTAATCACGTCCGCCCAACGAAAGGAAACGAGAGAAAAAGGAGGAATTCGCACTTACACCGAACGCAGGTCTGCGCGTAGCGATTGGGGGGTAGGTAAGGAGCATCTTGGGGAGAGAGGAGAGGGACGGCGGGGGGAAGCGTGTGATACCGAGCCGAGGCCGTTCGAGGATGGTCGTTGTCGAAAAAGGGTATCACGCCAACGGTCGCGAGAGAACCAGGCCGTTCCTCTGCTTCCCGAACCACCGAATTGCCGGTACCATAGCGCACGGAATGACGGAGTATCTCATGGGCCCGAACGTTTTTGTCGCTGGTATCCTCGGTAAACGTGAACGGCACCAGGAAATTTTTGAAAAACGCCGAGAAATTAAGGGCGGGGAGATGACGTT